TTTCCCTATTGCACATTTCCCTATTGCACATTTCCCTATTGCACATTTTGCACATTTCCCTATTGCACAATTCCCTATTGCACATTTCCCTATTGCACATACATAATCAAATTGTACTTTCCCTATTGCACCTATGCATAGTGTCCGTCAGATTGCACATATCCCTATTGTGTCCATACCTATTTAGACATAATGCACTTCCCTTATTTAACCTTCTCAATTGCACAAACTACACTGTAAACATTGCACCTCCCAACAACTCCTAACACAGCATAATCACAATTGTTTCTGACTGTTCAGCAGCTTGATTGACAGTGGAACAAAGGAAAACTTATACCTGTTCAATTTACAGTTTGGTAATCTATACCTTCTGCCGAGGCAGCAACTCAAACTCTCTATACAGGATGTGTTTGGGGTCGCATGTGATTTTACGGCTTTGCTTTCTCACCATCTCCTCAAATATCTCCTGAAGAGAGGATGGTGGAGGCATGCCAATTATTTTTCCAGCCCTTTTTATCAAGCTCTGGAGTTGTGATTTAGATTTAACTTACAAGTTAACAAACCATGTTGTGATGCCATAACGAATATTAGACTCAATTGCTGCCCTGTAGAACATTAACATGATACATTTATCCACTCCATGAACCCTGAGCCTACGCAGAAAATGCAGGCGCTGGCTTATCTTTGAGCATACCTGATCCACCTGATGGGCCAAGCCTAACTGAGCATCAAAATAAATCCCCAAATATTTAAAGCGTGTAACCTGCTCAACTCCCTCCCTGTTGATAAGGACTGGGCTGTGATCACCTACTGACCTGGGGTCAAAGATAATTTCCTTTGTTTTTTTAACATTTAACACCAGGTTGTGCGCCTCACACCACTTCACGACCTCTTCAATCTCAAGTTTATAAATAGAAGTCTCTAGGCAGAAGACTAAGTATGGCTGTGTCATCAGAAAACGTTATAATGTGTATAAAAGTCACATACTGCTCCATTGAGTCAAGATATTAAATATGATGACCTCTGCAGCTCATCCAGAATGCAGCGGCTCGTCTGGTCTTCAACCTTCCAAAATGTTCCCACACCACACCTCCGCTCCCTTCACTGGCTTCCAGTAACTGCTAGAATCCACTTCAAGACAATGGTACTTGCGTACCATGCTGCGAATGGATCTGGCCCTTCCTACATCCAGGACATGGTTAAACCGTACACCCCAGCACGTCCACTCCGCTCTGCATCGGCCAAACAGCTCGGTGTACCCGCACTGCGAGGGGGACCCAAGTTCCCGTCAGCAAAAACACGTTGGTTTGCTATCCTGGCTCCAAAATGGTGGAATGAGCTCCCCATTGAAATCAGGACAGCAGATAGCTTGCACATCTTCCGGCGCAGACTGAAAACTCATCTCTTTTCACTTCGAGCGATAGAATTACTAACAAAGCACTTATATACTAATAAAGGGCTGGCTTATCTAAAGCCAGTTGAGTAGCACTTGAAATGTTTTGGCTCTATGAAACCTGATGTACTTATATGATTCTGTTTTCTTCAAGTTTGTATCGTCTTAGTCGAATGCACTTAGTTGCTTTGGATATATATATCGTATCGTGAGCTCAATATCGTGTATCGTATCGTATCGTGAGATTAGTGTATCGTTACAGCCCTAGTACTTATATGATTCTGTTTTCTTCAAGTTTGTATCTTCTTAGTCGAATGCACTTAGTTGCTTTGGATAAAAGCGTCAGCTAAATGCAATGCAATGTAATGAGTGTTATGGTACCTACCAGACTGTTGAAGCAGTGGTCCAGGAAGACCAGCAGCACGGTTTGTTCCTTCAGACTGAGGCCGGCCCCCTCACTGGCCAATACAGCCTCCATCACACATTTGAAGAAGAAAGGGAAATGGCTCGGCTCCTTTTTGAACACCTGATGCACACAAATCAAAAAATACAATAATGCTGGAGATAGCTATACATTTTAAAAGGGTAAATGTGAAGATGGTGAACAAACAGCGAAGTATCTCATTGCAATATGGTGTCTTTAGATGCTGAGGTCACCATGCATTAACAGTTAAGTGTTCGATGAGATACTTCATTTCTTACCTCCCAGGCTGGGACATTCTCCCTGAACTTCTCGTTGACGATGCAACAAATGGACATGAGGTAGGCATTGCTGGACACTTTAGGAGTGTAGTTCACCCACAGGTAGTTCTCAAGGTACTGGCTGAAAGATGAGAAAAGATTGTATTAATATATATCCACCAAGTTGTTTAAATACATATTTTGTTATTGGCTTCTTCATAATAGAGAGAAGAAGATGAAGTGACATTTCCCACCTGAACTCAAGCAGCATAATTTTTCTGATGGCAAATCTGAAAGTAAAATGAAAAGAGGACAATAGAGAAAGATACATTAGTTTAAGTGTTGATGTGAAATATGTGATTAAACAGAGCAGTATAAGGCAACTATTATTTTAGTATTCACTTACTTGGACATGAGAATCTCTTTTTGGTAAACATCTTCCAACACCTTAAAAAAGGGAAGAATTTGTAAATGTTAAATGCACACCGAGCATCAGCACCTCCATGCTTAAAGCATAACAGGTGAGTAGAGTTCAGGCAGAGTTCATTAACTGGTCTAAGAAGCATTTTACCATTTCATTGTATCAAACTCAAACACACAAGTAACTATCATTATGATAAATAAAGTTTAACGATACAACAACACATTGCTTTGCCAAAAGAGAACAACAATTGTAGCAATACATATAACTCACCTTTGGGTCAAATGGTAGCTTATTCTTTGCATGAGGAGCCCAATATTTATTAGCCAACTGAAAAAAGAAATAGGAAAACAATCAATAATAGTATTAAACATAAAGGAAACTTGTTTAACTTAGATTGACTATCTCTTAAGATCAAACATGATATGATCTAGAGCAAACATTCAAGTCTCCTGTCAAGAGTAAACTCCTCCTAACATCTTATAAATTACAGATGCATTAAATCAAAACACTGACTGGAGGTTGAGAAAAAAGTCGCTCCGTCTTCAGCATATATAAGGAATGGGAAACATTTTTACAACAGATCTTGCTGGACAACAAGTGTAGGGTTGATGTAACATAATTACCTGTGTGACATATTCAGCATTAATCTGAGACACTGAAGGCGCCGCAGCCTTTTTAGCGGGGGTTTCTTTCCCCTTGGTGGCCATCTCAAGCTGCTACAATGACGACTGTCAGAAAAAGAGGGCAATGATATGTTATATGAAAGTAACCGTAGCTAATATTTGGTACCAATAAGGTTTGAAGTGAGTTGGTTGTACTGGTAATGCCTTAAGAATATGGGGCTGAGAAAGTTAGCTAATGTTAGCTAGGTTCAAAACTTCAGGATCTCAAGTTAATAAGAGTATTAAATTATATATATTATAACTGTTAATTACTGTAATGCCTTCCTGATACTTTTATGAGCACGCACACCAGTTATGTAGGTTAATTGATCATTATTAATACTAAAACATATCAAAACACAATAAGTAAACGTTAGCTGTTTCACACTATCAGGGGTGAGCTAAGCTAAGCTAATGAGTCGCAGTAAGATAATAACTAAGAGTTTTTGTTAATAATGACTTTGCTGAAAAGTACCGGGGGGTACCCGATATATAATAATTATAGATAAAGCTCTCAAACCTTTATGTTTATTCCAGCATGAGTGTTACTGCCGTTGGATGGTTAGTTGCGCATGTACACAATCAAAACGCGCTGTTTGCGACGGACTTCCTGAATGGGTACGTTCGTAAAACCGTCCCCGGATACAGAAGCAAGACCTCGGTTCCTACTACGCACGAATACATGTTTTTTTTACATTTTCCAAAGACAACTAAACTTAGTCTTAACTGAAGTAATAAACCTTATTTCTAATTTACCTGCATTTTTATGTAATATACAGAACATATATTAAGACTATCAAAATTATTAAAAAAAATACATTAAAAAAGTTAGGAAAAAACAAAATAATATTGGATGTTTGAAATATTAATGAAATTCATTTATCACAATTGTTTTATTTTTGTATTCATAATTTTCTTATAACACCATAATGTTAATCGTGAACATAATACACACAATTGTATACAAAAAAATCACTGCACAGCAACATTTTATTATTAATTAATTAATCATCAATGAGTGAGATGTGCGTTGACTGTGAACCTTATGCCACAAATGTTACACCAAACACCCTCTGACATCAAACTTCTACATTATGAGCGTTGTCCGCATACTGTTTGAGCTGTCATGTTGTGATTGTGGACCAAATTATTTATAAGTATTT